GGTTCTCTTTTTTAGCTTGGTAATAAAGCAAGGCAAACAGGAGGTTAGGAGGAAAAAAAATGACCATGTTTCCTCCTTTCTTGGTGTTCATCTTGCTACACTATCATGCTCCCAGCAAAAATGAACCTCTGATTGCAGGTTAGAAATTAGATGGAATCCTTGGGGTGCAACCATCTCTCCATTTGACAAAACAAATGGTAAAGCCATGGGGAAAGAGGAACACCATCAAATTAAAGAGCACTAAAAAGACCAAGCTATACCAAATAGGAGTACTTTTCCAGGTTAAGGGTATGTAGAATTATAAACAAGTTGTGTCTTCTATAAAGCCAGGGCTATTCTCGAACAGTGCCTGGTTAAATGCCAATAAAAATTTTGTTTTTTAATTAATCTATGTGCCATTTGACATGCACAAGATTACCTCACATTTCCAACATGATGCTTGAAAGATATAAATGTACTTAGTTTCAACAATTTAGACTTAAACATATCTATTATTTTTATTAATACCTCACTCTCATTTGCACAGAATACATCACTAAGTGCATAATAAAAATAATCCAGCCACGACAGAGCTGGTGCTGGGTTGAATATTGTTTGCACTGCAAGCAGAGAAACAGCATGGTGTTAGTCACTGAAAGGGGTTTCATGAAACTTAAACAAAAAGAATTCCAAGATTCGAATTCCAAGGTTCAAGCCCCGGCCGGACCAACACTCAAGGTCTTAAAATAATTGAGAAGAATTTGCTACCTTTCGATAACATCAAGAAATGGTTAGATATTCTAGTCTTCTCGGATAAAGACGAATAAATGGAGGTCCCGCCTCTTGCAGGGTTGGGGGTAGGAGACGTTAATTTCCCACGCACGAGATTACTGTATGATGGATGTCCCCCCCTGGGGTGGGTTGGTGGGTACAAAGGGGTTAGGTGTCAATTGGGACGAAAGTCCTGTTCCTTTCTCCTGCCATTCCCATGGCAAATTAATTAAATTCTAAATTCTGAAATAAAAAATTCCTCCTGCATGAACTGATCTGGCAGAATATCATTAACAACAGAGTGCTTAAGCAAGTTGAGGTCAGGAAGCTCTTCATCATAAGGAAAATTCTCCTTGTTCATACCAAAGGAAATGTATAGAGGAAAGTAAGGCGAACTTGTAAAATGATATCAGGGTGTAGAGGCTTGAGGAGGTTGTTGCAGAGAGCTTTGACCGTTCGAAGAAATTCCCTGCAAACTCATACTTACCACCGTTTTTCTTTGCAAGAGATAAAGTGTAGTGTGTTACTTCTGGGTTAATCTCAAGCTGACAAACACAAACTGAGGCTGATGTTATGACAGACTTTGCTCTTTTAACATCCTCTTCTGACAGAATATCATTAGCTCCGCTGACAATGACAATAGAATTTTCACCTGCAAATGCAGTGTTCCTTCAGTAATGTATATATAGCTATAATGTACTAGGGAAAGGTTGTCTGAAATCTGAGTTACACTACATGTAATTAATTGTAGTATCTTACAAATAGAGGGAAAACCAGAGGCCTATAATTAATGCTCAGTGTACTGGATCCCAAGTTGAGAGATCTGGGGTCAATGTGTTGTGTTCTTGCACAAGACTTAATTCACTCTCTCTACATCCAGGAAGATAGATGGATACCACTGGATTGGGAAGCCTAATGAAACACTGGTGGGTAACCTTGAGATGGAATGGCATCTCGTCCAGATGGGCATACTAATACTCCTAGTTGCTTCATTTTAGGAAACGGGGGTATGCTCTGGCTGGGTGGGCCTAGTATGGTCGTGGGCTTGAGAATGTTGTCTGTTTTAAATAGTGGATTGTCCTTTATTGTGCTAGAACCAGTGAATAATCTGACCGACTGTAAACACTTACAATCATACAATATTGGTCCACTGTAAAAGTACAGTACAAAAAACATATCTCACACAAGGTTCTTTTTCCTCTTACGTATCATGTGATTTTGTTGACGTCATGTTGTCACACACTTGACCTAACATGACACATTAAATAATGCCACAAGCAAAGACTCTAATAGAAATACCATACATGTCACAAGTAGTAAATTCTTGATCATTGCCAACAGTCTATGGCAAAGTTAAGTCCAGGGATGGTTAATGATGAAAGTAGGAAAAGTCAACAAATGGAATAAGGGAAAGTCAAAATTATTTTGCTAAATTTAACAACAACTACTTCCCAATACTGGATGTTACCACTCAACAAATGTAATTCAGTTACCATTTGAATTCACTGAAATAGGAGCAACTCCAGTCGCAGCCTCTTTAGTGATTTCCACATGATCTAAAAAAAGGCAACAAAAAAACTGCAGACTGACTAGTAAACAGATCAGGAGTTTGGATTTCCAGCACTTGATCAACATATTAATTCCATTAAATACCAAGAAGAATTGAAACAATCTTGATAACAAGCGAGTTCCTACTACCAATAAATTTTAACCATGCTTACCTGTATTGACTTCGTGTTGCTTAAAATTTTCAATATATCGATGTCCAAAAGAATCATCACCAACCTGCGACAAAATGGCAGAGGAGGCACGGTAAGAATACCTCAAGATTTACATTTACTATAAAATTTCACCCCCAGAGTTGATGGCATTTCCCTTCTCCTTTCATTACAATAACTGAAGATGGTATTTCAGAAACCATATTACAATGAGATGTAAATAATATACAAAATGCAATGTAAGTAAGATAAAGAATAAAAATTATCATAAATAAAGAATAATTTTAGATGTGCCTTAAAAAATAAACTAACAACTGCATTGCTAAGTGGAGATTGAGTGCATGAAATATCTAGGAGCTTCCACTATTAGCAGCCAGCTCCTAGATGGAGACTTCTCCCACGGCTGGCAAACCCTGGCAACCCAGCCATGAGCCCCCACACACGAAGGGGAAATAGGCACCCATCACACTGAATAAACAGTGGAACGAGGAGGGAATGGGTGGGGGAAAACTGCCTAGGAATGCTGCAAGTACATGCTCAAAGCACATGCAAGAAAGCCTCAGATGAAGAGCAAGTGGAATTCTGATGCATGCACATATGCAAAAAACCCCTGTCCACCAGAGAACACTGAATCAGATGCTCTTTGTTATTAACTCTGTTAAATTGCATTTAACTGCATGTAAAATGCATATGATAGAATTCCCACTGTAATTACCATATATCTTTTTAAAACTCGTGAAGTGATTAATATGTAACTTCTCCCAAAGGTATCCATATGTTATCTAGCAAGCAGGTACTGAGAATACTCCAAGTTATCAGATAGAGGTTATCTTGATCTAACACCAATTCTTGTGACAGATTTGCAAGGAAATGTGTAGCAACCAGATCTTGGGAGTTAAAGAATTAAGTTATATACTTTCCCATAGAGTATACAAAACATTGTTCATCAGATATTAAGTCTAGAACTTGAGTAGTTGAAGTGGTAGCTGAGCAACATGTGCATTCATTATAAAAGGTTGAAAACAAATTACCTGCTAGCTAAATAGACATCATAGTAATTTATTCATGAAAAATTCCAATTAATAAAAATTCTTGATGGTAAATCAACCCTTGACCAAGAAGAAATGTATACAAGCTTATCAGATACAAGAATTTCCTACTGTCTGTAAATTTAAGCACCTAAATGGCAGTGTTGACTGTAAGCTCAAGTTTGTCGTTGCGCCTGGCAGTTTTCACACACTAGTTTAGGGCCCAGCCCGCCGCAACTAAGCCACACGTGTTATGGTCGCCATTTTTAGTGACGACCTTGAGTAAGTCGAGTTAGTTCAAGTTTCTTAGTGTGTTCTACATTTTATCGGGGCAAAACATGTTTTGTAAGTACTATTCCTATTGTTTGGTTTGTTTTTAATTCAGTGCTACCTTTCTCCATTGCATCGTTTGTTTCAAATTCCTTTTACCTTTTAGGAACTGTGTAATCCTTCGAGTAAATCACCATGAAATAAAAGAAGATTGGTACGCTTTCACAACATATTTGTGTCCCTGACGGATTTAAAGTGATTTAGTGTCTACATTGACACCTTTGCAACAATAAATATTAAAAGATTATATTTCAGTAATTAAAGCAACATTAGGAAATGTTTATTCTAGATTAATGAACAGATTGACTGCAGGAACAAAAATAATATTCTAAAGGCATAGGGTAAAATATGGACTGGATTGTACTATTTTCTGGACCATTTTTTGGACCATTTTTTGGACCATTTTTTTGGACCATTTTTTTAGACCATTTTTGGGACCATTTTTTTAGACCATTTTTTTGAACCATTTTTTTGAACAATTTTATAAGGGGAAGGCACACCTTTAGTACTCAGGGAGGGGTGAGTGCAGTCAACAAGTACTGAGGGAGGGGTGGGGGAAAAGTGTTACTAATCAGGGAGGGGTGGTAGGTGGTTGTAATTGTACACACTACTGGTTAATGGAGCTTTTACTCGATTGTACTAATTATTTTAATCGGTTTTTCCACTGACTTTTATCAAAATCTTTGCACTGGGCCACGGCGTTTCTTAAGGGAAAATGTGAAGCAACTGATAGTGCACACACAAACCGACTTAAAAGGCACACAGATAACTCAACAGTGGAGGATTGTAAACGCAGTATTTTAAATATAATTTAAAGTCCAGTGTTTACATGGCAGTTTCACTTTCGCATAACGGAAATTCCGAGATCTCATCTGATGACACTATTGACAAAAGGAAGAGAGATAAATCTGGTAATTACACACTATATACACGTTTTTTGAGGTGTGCGGTCTGTGGTCTGCAGTCTGCGTTTTCGAGGTCTGCGTTAACGAGACACCTGAGAGAATACTGCTTTGTACGATTGTACAAAAAATTAAAATTGCAATAGCACTTGTGAATTCTATATTTGCAGCTAATTTATAAAGTCAAGGGCCAAGGAACAGAAATTCCGTGATCTCATCTGACAACATCAATAACAAAAAGAAGAGAGATAAATCTGGTAATTACACACTGTGACCCACTGTACACAAAACGGAACACTGATGGTGCACAAGTCGACTCAAAATGCATATGCATAACCTATGCCAGACTGGTAACTCAACAGTGGAGGATCGTAAACACGATATTTTCAATAAGAACTAAAGTCCAGTGTTTACGAGGCAATTTCGCTTTCGCATGACTAAAAAATTAAAGAAATGCCATGGCCCAGCACAAAAATGTTGATGTATGAGAAGTCAGTCGAAAAGCTGATTAAAATAATTATTACGATCGAGTAAAAGCTCCATTAACCAGTAGTGCTTACAATAAAAACCACCTACCACCCCTCCCTGAGTAGTAACACCCTTCCCCCACCCCTCCCTCAGTACTTGTTGACTGCACCCACCCCTTCCTGAGTACTAAAGGTGTGCCTCCCCCCTTATAAAATGGTCCAAAAAAGTGGTCCAAAAGTGGTCAGAAAAATGGTCCAAAAAATAGTTCAGTTCAGTCCAGTCCACTCCATATTTTACCCTATGCCTGTTCTAAACACACCAATGCTGTGTAGGTCACACCACTTTCTCATCCCAATTAAAATTATATCAACAAAGGATTGAGTTACGACCACAGGAAGCCTTCATAAACAGCCATTATTCCAGAAGAAAAGCTCTTCAAAATTTCACATTTCATAGGATATTAGGCAAATAAATAACAAAAGTTCAGCCAAGGATTAATTAAACTGATTTCAAATATTTGTCACCTAAACGCTAAACATGGAAAATGATTAAATTTGGTGGACAGGACATTAGCATAGCCATCTCTGCTTGAAAACAACATTCTTTCTGCCAAAACTGTCAACTTCGTCGTCACTCGAGCAAAAGAGATAAATAATCAGTGGTCCCCCTCTCTGAATGGAGGCACTTATATCAAAAGGGCAAACAATATTTTCAATTTTCCTCTATCTGTCTGCGCGACAGCTGCTCAGCAGGAGTTTCAAAATTTGCATTTCAATGAAATGAACTTACAAAAATCAGCAAGTAAATGACGTTGTCCCCGTAATCAATTATATTACCACAGTGATAAACAGAAGATTAATGACTCAAGCCAAACGAAATGACTTCGTTTACTGATCAGTTGTGAAAGGAGTGTTTCGTTACTATAAATTACATTGTACAGAACACAAATTTCTGCCACGTATCTTATAAACATATGGCTCATCTCCCGAGTCACTCATTAGATTAACGCAAGCAGCATTTAAATATAATTATTTACTTGGTATGGCTTCACAAAGCTGTTTACCAATGACAACGAATTTAGAAAAAGAAAGACTAATGCATAATGCGGTTTTCATTTCTGGTTATTTACAAATTTACCGCACTAATACCTGATTATTTCAGAGTTGGGATGAATGATTCTAGCTCAGTTACAAAATTTATATTATATATGCGTTCGATTTTCTGGTACTTAAACAACACCTCGTCATTCTGAATCATACCTTGTCCTAAGACACTGTTCAGAGTTTGATGTATAGAGCACCAGTGCGAAACGTTCAAGCACATGACTTTGCCCAATCCATCATATCATAGGCAAGAACACAAGCCCAGTCTGACTGAAACCTTCATAAAAATTGATCCGGTTATTTTAATTAGAAGGTTTTTACTAAACACAAATGCTTAATGAATGGGAAAAATATACCGCGCAATACCCGATGAACAAGGAAATCATTTCACGGCATTCCGATGAACATTTTATCTAAACCAGCACTTTTAATAACACGAAATTAGGAATAGGCGCTTAAACTGGATAAACACACATGGCGCGGTTTAGAATGTGCCTTGCGTGTGAGCTTACCGGCGCGTACAACTATTGACTGACTGGATCTTCCATATTCATAAATCAATATTGCATACTTCTTCTCCTGGAAGATAAATATCTGTACTCACTTTGGCAACCATTGCAGTTTTAGCCCCTAGCCGAGCTGCCATCACACACTGATTCGCACCTTTTCCTCCAAACCCCATCACAAATTTATCGCCGTGAATGGTTTCGCCAGCTTTGGGGAGCCGAGGAACATAGCTAAAAAGAGCAAAATCGACATAGTTAAATAAATGAACAATGCACGTAACTATTTCAGAAAATCTTAACGTCTTCACATGTCCAACCTCACGAGGTCTGTCATGCAGGAGCCAACAACCACCACATCGAACTCCTTGGCTCCTCCCGCCATTTTGAAGCGGGTCAGACAAGTGAGGTCTGACAAGTATTTCGCTAAGTCGAAACCGGAAACCAAGGAGAAGAAAAATCCGAAAGAAGACTGAGCTTTACCGGAAGTAGAATTTTCATTTTGAAACCGCTGATGCCCAATGCGATTGTCGAGAGAGAGTCTGGGTATGAGTTTGGTCGAAATCGACTCAGAACTCCAATAATTTTATTTTCTGTGCATAGAATGATTCTGAGTTGTCTATGTGAAATGAGAGCCAGATAATGCCTTTGTTTGACGTTATTGGACTTGGAGCAGAAAAATACGCTGTTGTCATTGACATCGGAGCCGCCTATACGAAGTAAGAAGGGTCCATACATCGCAAAATTTGTGTCAAGTTGGGTGTAAAATGTTGGCCACGATATACTTGCCAATGCTGGTAGAAATCAGCTATTGAAATAGATTACAGTGGACTTTTTGTTACTTTGTGTTGTTGTTTTACTTGGGTGTTATCTTAACTCTTAACCTTTTCAGGATCTAGCTTGACAAAATACTGGGTAATCTGTTTTCGTGCAGGTCCACATGAGGACGTAATGTCTTGCCTATCCCTCAACCTGCTTTATTAAATAAACTATGATGATGATGATGATGATGATGATGATGTTTTCAGTGATCAAGGCAAAGATAATTCTTTCCACTAGCTAACAAAGGATTAGTTTGCTAGTAGTGTTTTCTTTACCTCTTGCAAGACATTCCAATCGGTTATAAACACGAAAAATATAAATTACACTCTATCTTTTGATCGAAATATTTGTAAAACCATATAATTATTCGATTTATCGAAATTCGATTCTATTTTTTATTTTTTCAGATGTGGCTTTGCCTCAGAAACAAGTCCTCGCCACATCATTCGAAGTGTCATTACACACACGATAAATGGAGAGGTATCTACTTATAACAATCTCTGTTGAAAGACATTGCCTTCCAATGTTTGAGAAACAGTCTGTTACAAGCTACCAACAAGTTAAGCATTTCCTTTTGAATCGGTTAAGAGATTTGAGCAAAATTGCTGCACTATAGTTAACAATTATTCCACGAGCGCGCGTTGGATATGAGATGATAGATAGCCAACGAGGCACGTAGCGCCGAGTTGGCTATAATCATCTCATATCCAACAAGCGTGAGTGGAATAATTGTTTTATTAAAAAAGCGCCCCCACGATATTAGACAAATCTTCTCGACTTTATTTTGTTAGAAGAAATCGGATGTTACAATGTACAGATATTAGATTATGGTATATTGGCTCATATACCATAATGGCTAAGCCAATAAAAAGTCTTGAATTGCATTATCCAATGAAGGTCAACAATGGTCCAGCGCTCTATCCATTGAACTAACCGGGAGGTGGTTATGATCATGTTATTATTTCCTTTAATAGAGATGGGAGGGACTTGCATGATGGGTTTCTAGTTGATATCTCCTCTGTTTCATCCTGTCCTGCAGTCAATAACTCTTCTGTTTAATCCTTGTCCTTTTCAGGTACCTTCTTGTAAACCCACGGGACAGACGAGTTGTTATTTGTGAGTCAGTGCTTTGTTCTACACTTTGGAGAAATACCATTGCCAAAGTCCTTTTCAAGCACTTTGAGGTGATGCCACTTAAAAAGATTAACTAATTGAAAATAATTATGACAAAATTAGATATATTAAATGTTTTTTCTAGAATGTGAGAAAAGAAGATCATAACCTAACCAGACAAAACTGTCATTCTTAGTACTTAATAAATGTTTGAAGTTCTACAGTTAAGCATGTTGATTAAATGGATGATTCAGTTAAGGCCTTGAGTTACTGTAATTTCTACTTTATTCCCTGATGATGCCGTAGATCTGTGAAAGCTTGGAATGAAAAGGATTTAAAGTAACTCAGGGCTTCAATTAAGTTGTCTGTTGTTATAGAACGTTTACACCCATTATTGGGATTTTGCTTGTTTTGTTACATTTCGCATGACAAGCGGCGCACTAAGTGAGTTGTTGGTTCTTTACCTCTAATAGAGATCGGTAGAATGTAACCGGAAATATTGACAAAGAATGCGTAGAACGATTGACAAACAATGATGTAATTAACTAGATAATTGCTAGTGAAACCACGTGTTAAGATTAACGATAATAAGATTTGTCTAACAGACCCATGCAACAGGAATCAGTGAGATCAACTGATTAGGAAATTAATAGACAACTAAGCCCTATCCGGCCACACTGGACCTACGTATCTGGGTGTGGATATCTGTAGCCAATAAAAGTGGCACTTGTAATCCTAAGTTAGTCAGATCGTAGGGCAGAACATGCATGTTGTGAGCTGTTTAGTACTTAAAGAATCCCTTAACAATTCAGCTTTATGATTTTGCTTGCAGGTACCTTCAGTACTGTTTGCACCCCATCACCTTTTAGCACTCTTTACTCTCGGAATACCGTCAGGACTAGTCTTGGACTGTGGCTTCACAGAGACCATCGTTTTACCAATATCCTTTTCAGTGATGCATCATTGCATTGGCAATTAGCCTTTACTTAGTTCTTATTAACTGAACAGGAGGTCTGTATGGGAGAATCTTGACCAAGGTCGCCAGTACAGACCAAACGCAGTGGCCGGGTCTGTACCAGTGACCGAGGTCAAGAGTCTCCCATACAGACTGACCTAGCTAGCTCGGTTAATAAGATGTTTATTATAATTTATGGCTGTGTCTTATAATTATGCCAATTTTTATATTCTTTGTACCTTTTTTTCCTTGACCGGTCTAGATGCCAGTCTAGATGCCGGTCTAGATGCCGGTCTAGATGCCGGTCTAGATGCCGGTCTAGATGCCGGTCTAGATGCCGGTCTAGATGGGAAAATCTAGACCGCTTTCAGTATTGACTTCAGCCAATCAAATTCATGAATTCGGTAGTTCTCAGTCCTTGTGAGACACAGTCATATAATAAACCCACATACAAAATTGATCTTCTCCATACTGTTCCCTGTACATTTCCTATGTTGCTGACAAGGAAAGTTTCTTTTTAAATCACGAGCTTCTTTAGATTGCAATCATTTTCCCTATTCTCCTAACCTTTGAATGTTTGATTCAGTAGAAATGCTGGAAGGAAATTAGATCTTAGTCGCTCGTAGGGGTTAATGGATTAAGGACAGAAAGAGGATCAAAAACTTGCCATTCATTTTTGTTCTTTCTCTGTAAGGTGATCAACTAGAATTTAATGTTATTTTCAGGCTTGTCATGAACGATCTTGAACATGTCAAAGTGTAGTGTAATCATCGTGGTGAGTGTCGGTGGTGGTGACTAATGTTTTGACAATCTGTGCGGAAGTCATCATCAGAGTCAAGTGAATAGGTGATGCCACTTAAAAAGATTAACTAATTGAAAATAATTATGACAAAATTAGAT